AATGTTAAATAGACGAAAATCGTATTTAACCCCTTTGCACTGTAATATCGTGTCAGACTCCAAGATTTGGAACGTGATCTACTAAATATGTGTATTATTCATGTCTATTGAATTGAAAGATATTTCTGCACTTAAGAAAAAAAACATTTTCCGATTCCTCTTGTAGCAAATCACGATAATAGCGAGTTTGATCGGAAACGACTGCGACCTCTCCTTGTTAAATCGTGGCGTATCGCATATTGTTACGAAAAATTTCTTTCGCGAAATGATTGCATCGTTTTGAAGGTTAAAGCTTTCTCTTTCCAACGACTCATTCAGATGTAACGTACGATCATTTGCGACCGTTTCATTTGCGGTTTAAATAAGAGGTGTACCGCCGGAATTACACGCGCAAACGTTTCCCTCGTTTGTATATCGTGAAATAACAAAAGAAATCGAGATTCAGTTGTCACTAGTAATCAAGGTAACGTGATTCATTCTTGAATATGATAGCAATTGACCTCTTGACACACAATGACGAGTTAGGGTCGTAATTCATTTCATGCGTCATTCTAGACTTTGACGAGTTTGACTCGTCAAAAGCTGTTTTCTGCGGACGCCATGCAGTATATCATTAGATCACTCAGTTGCTTCATTCGTGCGTCGATTCTGGTTTGTTTGCAATGTTTGTTTGCAAGATGCCCCACCCTTCCGCCCCCTCGACAGTACCAATAACAAAGTTGCACCCACAAATCAGCAATCCAAATTCCAAAATAAAACATTCTCTTTCTCAGCTTGCACATAACTGCTCAGTCCAGCCAAATTAAATAGTATTTTTCACCAAATTAAATAGTCTTTTTACAAGTTCCGTTTTATTTGTATGTCAACGGATTAAGCTACTGGTTCGCGATGAGTTAAGCGCCGTCGTGAATTGGGTTCGTTTATTCTTGTAACGGACCCCGACCGGGTCCCGGTGTATGGGAATCGATTGCTACGGGGTGCGTTCGAGTCGAATTTCCAATTTCCTCGGTCGCGGAAACTTTACCATCCGGATTAAGAGGGTCGCCACGGTGCTCGACAAAATACACGATTTTATACGGCGCAACGAAGTTCGCCGAACTTTCGGTCGAAACGAGACTCGGCCCGATCCCGATGTTCGAGAAATTACAACGTACCGAAGAGAAAACGGGAGCCGGAAGGAAGAGGGAGGAAGAAAATTGCGGAGAGAATCGAGAAAAATTGAGGAAAATCCGGGAGAATCGATGGAAGAGACTCGTCCGCGGTGGAGGATCGAGAGCGACGCGTGTCGCGCGAGATCCGCGGGAATCTTGAACTTCCCCGTAACCGCATTAAATTTGACGAGATACGAAGTCCTATAACCCACCGCCACATTTAGAGCAGTAATATGCATAAACGGATTGTCCCACAAACTTGTAAGGGTTAAGTTTACCATGACGGCTGATTAACCGCGGCCAGAGGGGACAGCCTCGCTTGCTGGACTCTGTCCAGTTCTCCCGTGCAAACGGCGAATTTACGATTATTTTCACGGCTGGTGGCCGGCGTTGCCCGCTAAACTGGCTCGCCGCAGACTTTCCAGCAAAACAAAAATCTTATGCTCGCTGAAACGCCGGCGAATTTATGTCGACGACACCGGACCACCTCTCCGGAATAATGTTAACACTTCAGCAACCGGCTGGAAAGCATACACCTTCTAAATGGTAACTTCGTAATAGCTCTGCGGAACGATTCACCGTTTATACCACGATTTTAACCTTCTCGGAGACGGAATCTTTAGAAATAGGTACATCAGACGATTTTCATTTCTTTGTGATTATACTGTAATTCCAATTGTATCGCAATCATAATTGTAATTATATCTCAATTACAATTGTGATTATGGTGCAGTTATAATTGTAATTATATTGGTTTACAGTTGAAATTATACTATAATTATAATTGTAATTATATTGGTTTACAGTTGAAATTATGCTACAATTATAAATGTAATTATATTGGTTTACAATTGTAATTATAACGCAATTTATAATTGTAATTATATTGGTTTACAATTGTAATTATAGTGCAGTTATAATTGTAATTATATTGGTTTACTGTTGTAATTGTACTTCAATTATAATTGTTATTATATTAGTTTACAATTGTAATTATAGTGCAGTTATAATTGTAATTATATTGGTTTACAATTGTAATTATAGTGCAGTTATAATTGTAATTATATTGGTTTACTGTTGTAATTGTACTTCAATTATAATTGTTATTATATTAGTTTACAATTGTAATTATAGTGCAGTTATAATTGTAATTATATTGGTTTACTGTTGTAATTGTACTTCAATTATAATTGT